TGTTCTGTCAGGCTTTTAAAGTGTTTGAAAGGCTGGGATATACTAAATTTTCATATAAGACCAAAACATACTGCCAATAAGTTGATTCTGATTCATAGTGACAATGTGGAACCAGGTAGAACCGCACCATAGGGTTTCCAAGGCTGAATTTTTTACAGAAAATGACTGCCTCATCTTTCTTCTGTGGAGCTGCCTGTGGGTTGGACCTGACTACCTTCCAGTTAGCAGTTGAACCACCAGGTCTCCTTGCTTTAATATATGTTGTTGTTCTTAAGTTCTGTCAATGTATGGCTGCAGTCATTTTTGTATTGTCTTTAGCAAAATTTTTATTTGCATGTGATATTAATGATATTGTGTGATGATTTCCACATTCTTTTGGGTCACCTCTGTTTGGAAAGGGCACAAATATGGATCTCTTCCAGGAAATTTGCCAAATTTCTTGGCATAGATTAGTGAGTGACTCCAGTGCTGCATCAGTTTGTTGAAAGGTTCAAATTTGTATTCCATCAATTCCCAGTGCTCTGTTCTTTGCCAATGCATTAAATGCACCTTGGACTTTTTCTTTCAGTATCATTGGATCTTGATCATCTACCACCTCTTGAAATGACTGATCATTGACCATTTCTTTTTGATACAGTGGCACTGTGTATTCCTCCCATCTTTTTGTGATGCTTTCTGCATCATTCAATATTTTTCCATCATAATCCTTCAATAGTACAAGTCAAGACTTGAACTTTTTCTTCAGTTCTTTTAGTTTGAGAACTGATAAATGCTGAGTGTATTCTTCCCTTTTGGTTTTCTAACTCCAATCTTTGGAGTTGACCATTTCGTTATAATATTTGACTTTGTTTTCTCAAGCTAACCTTTGAAATTCTCAATTTAGCTCTTGTATCTCCTCATATCTTCCATTGCCTTTACCATCTCTACCCTGGAGAGCAACTTTCAGAGTCTCTTCTGACATCCATTTTGGTCTCTTCCTTCTTTCTTGTCTTCTTAATGACCTTTTGCTTTCTTCCTGTATGATGTTCATGAGGCCATCCCACAACTCTTCTGGTCTTCGGTCTTTAGTGTATAATGCATCGAATCTGTTCTTCAGATGATCTCTAAATTCAGGTGGGATATGTGCAAGGTCATATTTTGGCTCTTGTGGGCTTGTTTCAATATTCTTTAGCTTCAAACTGAACTTGCATACGAACAACTGATGGTCTGTTCCACAGTCTGCCCCTGGCCTTATTAGCTGATGATATGGAGTTTTTCTACCGTCTCTTTCTATAGGTGGAAACCTTAGGTTGTACAGTTCTACTCTGACACACCATGAAACACACATAGTGGATTCACCATGAGTTAGAGTCTATTTAGGGTCTATTTAATGGCAACTGTTTTTTTTGTTTTTTAAATAAGTGCATGAGGAGTGTCACTGTTGTTGTTGTTAAGTGCCATTGAGTCGATTCTGACCCATAGCAACCTTGTATAGGTTTACAAGGAGCAGTTGGTGAGCTTGAACCACTGACTTTGCAGTTCAAATGACTTTGCAATCTGAGGCATTAGTCCACAGTGCCACACCAGGACTCCGAGGAGTGGCATAGAAAACTCTAATATTTCCTTAGAAGCTCATGGTGCCTCCTTTTCATGTTAGATATTTGTAAGAATGAGATTCATTTTCATTTTCAAAGTTTTGAAGACTTTGAAGGGATCTTTCAAAATTCATTCACCAAATATGTCTTGAGGAATTATCTCTGGTAGCATAGTGGTTGCAAATCGGGCTGTTAACCACAAGTTCAGCATTTTGAAACACAGGAGAAAGATGAGGATTTATGCTCCCATAAAGATTTATGGAGTCCTGGTGTGGCACTGTGGGTTAATGCGCTGGACTGCACAGTTGGTTTGAGCCTCAAGGTCGGAGGTTCAAGCTCACCAGCCACTCCTCGGAAACCCTATAAAGGGTTGCTACGGGTTGGAACTGACTCGACAGCACTTAACAACAACAACAAAGATGTACAGCCTTGGAAACCCTATATAAGGTCACTATGAGTCCACAGCACATAACGATCACCAAACCAATCCTGAATGTGATAATGACAAAGGCACATTTTGAACTTTGTCAAACACTGAGTCACCATGACCTGAGTCGCTGGAAGGAAGCTGAAAGTTCAGATGAGAACTCCTTGAGGGAAAGGTCAGACACCCAGCATGAGGGTTATGGTGAAGGAGCTTCAGGAAAACATCATTTCATTTCCCCCCTTGTTGTTGACACTCTTAATTCTGGAATGTGCTCTCTTTGATGGAACCATATTTTTGTTCACTGGTGTATCTCTCACACACATGTCAGATTAGGTGTTCAATGTATATTTGTTGATTGAATGAATGGAAATATAAATTTTAAGTTAAGGGGCTTATACAAAGTAAGTTATACTAACTTATACAAAGTTTATACAAAGTAAGTTCTCAGAAACCATCTGTAAAAGAACCAAGTTAATTGTATTACAAATGTGGATTCTCAGGTCCCACCCAGATCCCCAAACCAGAATTTCAGGAAGATTAACTAAGTTCATGTTATCTTCTTCAGTAACCTCACTGACTGACTCCCAAGTCTTCAGCTACTGCCTCTGTGTTGTTTCTGGAAACTTTTTGATTATTGGCCATTTTTCTCTGCTTCACTAAATCCATATACAAAAACTCTCAGGGCCCACAGATACTGCTTCTGAAATAATTGCTGAAACCCTCGCTGCTATCTCCATTTTTACTGCAACATCCCATGTCAGATCCTCTTACTTTTCACCTGTACTATTCACCACTGGCAAGTCAATTCCAACTCATAATGACCCAAAAGATAGATAGAACTGCTCCAGAGGGTTTCCAAGACTGTAAATCTTTATGGAAAAAGACTGCCACATCCTTCTTCTGTGGAGCAGCTAGTGGGTCTGAACTGTTAACCTTTTGGTTTGCAGCCAAGTGCTTTATCAACTGCACCACCAGGGCTCACTGTCATCTGGGCTACAGCTTCCTAGTTATCCTTCAGTCAATTTAGATTCTCCATTAGTTAAGAAAATACACGTTAGCTCCTACTTGACAGTCTTCCTGCAGCATCTTTCTGTCAGCTCCACGGGTCACAATCAACCTATCTTATCAAAGATTCAACTCCATGTTATCTCTTGATAAGTCATTCTTGATTCTCACATCAGGAATGGGGTCTTCATCCTTTAAGTTCTCAAAATGAGTCTCAGTTTTTCTTATAACCTGTTAGGTAAAGGTTATCTGTACTTCTGTCTTATCCTGTCCGGAAAGTTGCAGTCTCCTTATCCTATTCAGTTGATCAATAGGAACTCCTAGGTACTTCCATGTACTTCTTTAACCTCCACTGAAAGAGACAGTCACACTGCCCTGACCAATCCCAGAATACAGACCTAGACTAGTGAAGGCAAAAAGAACTCACCCTGTGGTCTGTGGTAATCACACTGCCTTTGCAATGTGACCAAACTAGTTTCAGAGAATTCACTTTACCTTGCAACATCACTGTGTATGAAAGGCAAGTATCATTATCTCCCTATGGCCAGAGAAATGAATCCCAGCCATACTACAGTTTCACATATTAGAGTCATGCTGGCCTTGCCCATATCCCGGATCAGGTACATAAATTTTAAAGTCAAATTTAAACTTTGGTTTGATCCAAAGGATTCCATATGGAGAAGAACAGTTAGCTTCCTTCCGTCCTACCTAGTATCCATCCCAAGTAGGACAAAGCAGCCAGGTCAGTACAAACCAATACTGATTTTCTTGGTACCCACAGACTCATGGAGCACATGGCACAGTGTTTCCCTGAGCATCCAGGCCTCAGCCTACACCCATCTTTGGGGTCATTGAGAACCAGTTGGCTTCCTTTGACCCGATGAGCTGAGGCAGCAATCTACAATGCCAATTCACTTCTGATCCCTTTAGATTTCTTAGAAGTAGCCTGTTCCTAAGTTAACAGTCACTGCCTCATTATATTTTCCTCTTTTTCCCTGAGATGAGACATTGTATAAATCTCTATAACTGTTCCCTCTGGTTTCCATGTTGATTAGTCAGTGGTAGGCCAGTTCTAAGGGCCCCTGGCATGAGCATTAGCTGTTTTTCTAGTCTATTGTTGTTGTTGTTGTTAAGTGCCTTCGAGTCAATTCCAACCCATAGTGACCCCTTATAGAGTTTCCAAGGAGGAGCTGGTGAGCTTGAACCACCGACCTTGAGGTTCAAACTGACCTTGCAGTTAGCACTCAGTAAATGCTAAAAGACATAGGAGAAAACCCATTTTGCACAGTAATTCCCCAGCATGTACTTATTTCCCTTAATTCGAACCCAAGGCTATTCTGTTGTTTTTTTATGTCTGGATCCAGACTCTCAGAGCTAAAAAGAAAAGGGTCTCCTTACAAATATGAGAAGCAATTATCCCCAAGGGAGAAATCTAATGAGCTTTGCCAAGTGGCAGGCTAACCCAAGAAAAGCATCTGTGTGTTCCCTAAGATTCATTCATTCATTTGTTCAACAAATATTCATTGAGCACCTACTCTGTTTGTTTTAAGGGAGAACCTTAGGAGAGCAAAGAGGGTGTCTGGGAATGGACCATTTACAGGTTGGCATCTGGGAGTGAGATGGTCTGTGACATGCTGCTAGTCTGCAGGAGAGGCTAGCTGAGCCATCCTGCTGTTAGTGACACCAGGATTACTCCATGGGAAGGTAGAGGCAGATTTTCCCCTTGAGTAATCAGAATAATGACTTGGGAATGAAGGCTCTGGAAGAAAGGGTCCCATCCAGGAGAGCAGTAATGAGGTCAATAAAGAACAAAAGCATCTGTTGGGGAGAACATTAAAGGAAAAAATAGCAGTCAGAAATGCCTCTAGAAACATAGCCTGGCATGAGGAAAGTGCCAGAAGAGAGCAGAGACAGCAGTAACAGAAATGACTCAGTCTCCAGAGAGGTCACTGACAACACGATCTGCCTAACACACTTGTTCTTTTCTGACTCAGGGGACAACTGGGTTTGAAGCACAGATTGATAAGTGTTTGGAGCTGGCAGAGTATTTATACAATATCATCAAAAACCGAGAAGGTTATCAAATGGTGTTTGATGGAAAGGTAAGTGTTCTCTTGTTTACAATCCCAAAAGAGTTCAGACATTTCCACTGTTTATCACTGATAGTTTTTGATGTAACTAATACTCTTTCCAGGTAAGCAGGGCCACTCCAAAACAGGAAGGAGTAGATGCAGAAGTAGCTTTACTGAGCTGAAATCAAAAGCAAACTTAAGAACCACTCCATATAATATGCAAGCCAGGTTTTCTGAAGGCAATCACTGATTTTAAAATAGCAATGGTAATCTGAACCTGCCAGATACAGAGATTTGACATGTCCTCAAATTTCCACAGTTGCTGGTTTGGGCTGAATATGAATCTTAACTTTCCTCTTTGTAGCCTCAGCACACCAATGTCTGCTTCTGGTATATACCTCCGAGTTTGCGTACCCTGGAAGATAATGAAGAAAGGATGAGTCGCCTCTCAAAGGTCAGTGATACTGGAGCCCCCAGTGTGTATACTAGATCTTTCCTATTCATAGTGTCTTTAGGAGAATTTGGACATTGTTGCTTTGTGGGCACCTACTCCCAACCAGGAGTCCTGGTCTGGTGCTGTGCGTTAATTCACTGGACTGCAAAGTCTCTTAGAACCACAAGGTTGGTGGTTCAAGCTCACTGGTTGCTCCTCAGTCGCTATGGGTCGGAATCTACTCGGTGGCACATAACAACAACAACTCCTGACTCATGGTGACCCCATGTGTGTCAGAGTGAAACTTTGCTTCATAGAGTTTCCAGTGGCAGTCATCATTCGGAAGGAGATTTGACAGTTTGTTCTTCCAAGGCACCTTGTGGGTGGACTCAAACAGCCAAGTTTTAGGTTAGTAGCCAAGCGCTTAACCATTTGGACCACCCCAGGACTCCCTGTGGCCAATAGGACATCCTTTTTCTTTTATTCTCTCCTACTCCCATCATTTACACTTTGATTAACAACCTAGGCCAAAGACAGTCTTCAGCAGAGATACAGCATAGAGTTGTCTTCCATAGAGTTGTAGGAGTAGGAAGCTAGGATGGTCATGTGCCCTTGGATCTTAGTGCTTTTCATTTGTCCTTGTTTCCTTCTATTTACCATAAAGCAAAGAAGTGAGGGACCCCTCACTGCCTTCCCAATGTGAGCCACAGGCCCTTTCTCCACTGCTAAGGATCAGAGCTACCTGAAGGACCTTTCTGAATGCTTTATTTCCTTCCTTCTGTGTAAAATAAAGAACAAGACTACCTAGCCTGTGGCATAAAGATATTGTAGGGATTTAAAACCTTCAGAAACCCTCATAAATGTTAACCCTTACCCTTCAACTGTACGTCTAATCGCAAAGTTGATGTTACAAACCTACCAACTGCTCTTTGGCAATCCTGTACAGAGTAGAGTCGCTATAGATCAGAACTGACTAGACGGCACTTATCAAAAACAGCAGAGTGTCACCAGGAGGGACACTTATGCCTGGTTGAGGACTTTAAATTAAGCCATCAAATTAATGTTACAGGAACCCTGGTGGTGCTGTAGGATAAGCACTGGACTGCTAACCTCAAGGTCAGTAGTTCAAACCCACCAGCTGCTCTGCAGGAGAAAGAGGAAGCTTTCTGTTCCTGTAAAGATTTACAGCCTCGGAAACCCTATACAGGGTCGCTATAAGTCGGAATCGACTCCATGGCTATAGGTTTAGGTGGGTTTAGACGGCACAGTGGTTAAGTGCTTGGCTAATAGCCAAAAGATTGGTGGTTCGAATCCACCAACTGCTCTGTGGGAGGAAAATGTGGCATTCTGCTTCCATAAAGATTTATAACCTTGGAAACTCCATGGACTATTCTATAGGGTCACTATGAGTCAGAATAGACTGCACAGCAATGGGTCTAGATTATAATTGGTGCTTGCTGCACATTAGGATCATGTGGGTACTTCTATACTGGTAACCAGGTCTTGCCCTGAGAGCATTTAATTCTTTTGGTTTTATTTGGGCTTGGAAAGTTATAAAAGTTCTTCACTGGGTATATGTTTTGGGTGGGGTTGGTGGCACTTAGGTCATATACATATTTGAAATTTTCACTTCCTGGAAGTGGTTCATTCCAAGAAGTCAAACCTAAAAGGAAGGAAAGAGTGAAGATTGTTGAAGGTAGTAAGTGCTGGCCAAAAAAATCAAGAAACATCTATGGTTTTCACACTACTCCCTACCCAAAGGTTGGTAGTTTGAACCAACCAGGAAGAAAGGCTTGGTGATCTGCTTCCATAAGGATTGCAGATGAGAAAACCCCAGGGAGAAGTCAGTAACACATAAGTTGGCACCTACTCCATGGCAACTGGTTTGGTTTTTTAGATTTATAATCAAGAAGAACCTGAAAGTAAAGACAACCTTTCAAAAAGTCAACAATGGATTTAAAAAGTAACTTAGAGAAGCGAGTAGTTTGACCTAATAACACAAGTGACTTTTTAAAAGTCTATGTCTATCAAATGTAATGGAGGAATTTAGTTAATGAAATTGGAACATTTTCAAACATCTTATTTATGGTTATCCTGCTTTCCCCTTTTCCAAAAATGTATCTCAGGCTCCCAAGATTTAAGCACAAAACATGTTTCTAATATATACTGGAAACATCCGAGTTGTAATATCTTATAAGGTTATTTCATAATGCTTTTATCTGAGCCCCTTTGGGAGGAAACAAATGTGCATAAATTCAAGTTATGAAAGAATTTTGTGGCTATTGATTGAAAAAACAAAAACAAAAAAACAACCTAGCAGCAAAAGGGATAAAAAGAGAAAAAGTTATACCCTATGACAGTTCCCAAAAGCTCTTTACTGATTAGGCCTTTAGTGACTTTTCAACAGGCAGCCTCTGGGTCCCTCTTGGCTTTCTTTATGAAACAAAACCAAACACACAACCAAAAAAAAAAAAAAAGTCTGGAAGCAAATAAAAACTTTATATATTCATCAAAATAATCAGAATCTTATTTTTCTGTTTAGCTTGCAATTCATGATTACACAATTAAGCAAATAGTTTATGTTCCTACTTATTTTAATTCAACAGCATTTTCTAGAACAGCCAAAAGTCCTATGTATTTGTTGTTGTTGTTGTTGTTAAGTGCCATCGAGTCGGTTCCGACCCATAGCGACCCAGTACAGGGTTTCCAAGGGGTGTAAATCTTTACAGGAGTAGAAAGCCTCATCTTTCTCCCGCGGAGCAGCTGGTAGTTCCGAACCGCTGACCTTAAGGTTCGCAGCCCGATTCGTAACCATTACGCTACCAGAGCTCCTTTTAGACAGCTATAATTTTTGCCAATCCAGCGAACTTCAGGAACTGGGGGCATTCAATATCACTTTACGTCTAACTTTGCTTGAGATGATTGCTGTTAACATGAATCTTTTAACCTTTGATAGCATTCATTGGTAAAGTTAGGGGTGATTGCTCTTCAATAATTAGTGCCCTTCCGATGTGATTTCATGTAGGTAACCCATGGAAACAAAATCAGAGTTAAATTCACTGAGCAACGCATACTGTCAGTATTTTATCGGTTCTAAGGATAGTAGCATAGTGATATAGTGGTTACGAGTCGGGTTGCCAACCTCAAGGTCCTCAGTTCAAACCTACCAGCTGTTCCGCAGGAGAAAGATGAGGCTTTCTGCTCCCGTAAAGATTTACAGCCTCGGAAACCCTGTACAGGGGCGCCATGAGTTGGAACCGACTCCACGGCACATAACCACCCACCATCAAGGAGCTCTGGTAGCGTAGGGGTTACTAGTCGGGCTGCCAACCTCAAGGTCAGCAGTTCAAAACTACCAGAGGTTCCTCAGGAGAAAGATGAGGCGTTCTGCAACCGTAAAGGTTTACAGCCTCGGAAACCCTGTGCAGGGTCACTATGAGTCGGAGCCAACTCTATGGTACTTAACAACAACAAAGAGCAGGAATAATTCATTACACATATAAAGCTCTAAGATTCTTATGTGATTTTTTTTTCTTCTTTTAACTCCTTCAGACACATGGATTTAGAATTCCTTTTCTAATTTGGGATTTGCTTCTCAGGAGCATGTTCATGTGCAACACATCACAGTACAATGGAATAAATGCCATGTCCTGAGGCTAGGATAGTCTAGTAGATATATTTTCAGACCTTAATTCTAGACTTGAGAGATTTAAATTCTTCTTCATATGTTTATTTTCTGGGATGAGCTTGATTCCGTATATGTTTCCTTAATTCTTTGGTGAAAGAAGGATCAATCCCAAAGACACATTCTGCTTGACGTTACCTCTCCATAGACTAAGAAAGGGCCAGGAGAGGACTTGATAACTGTTGTTACTGCTGTCGAGGGCCACTGAGTTGGTTCCAACTCAGAGTGACACTGATCAGGGTTTCCGAGAAGCGACTGTTGAAATTGAACCCCTGACATTGCAAAGCGGAATCCATTGACTTATCTTACTAGTCAACCTAGAATCAGAAAATGCCAACAGTGGAATCCTCATCTCACCTACCTCCATGTTTAGATGAAGAAACTAGGTCCAGAACATGAAGTGTCTGGTGAAGTGAATTTTGCCTTTACCTTTAGTAAAGTCTCACCAGTGATTGGGGACCTTGCTGATTTCACGCATTTCATTTCAAAGATGAAAATCTCATGGTAAACCTGTGATTGTTTAAGGGCTGATAGTCACAAGTCACATGTTCATAGAAGTATTCCATTTGGATTAAATTACCCTTAATTAAGAAGAATCTAACAATGATTTAAAAAAAAAGGCATGGTTCTCATTTTGAGCCAACTGACTACATGTGCTAAAGTTTGAATCCTCGCTGATGGCTGTCATTCATGGTTACATATTTGTAGACATGAACTTAAAAAACCAGATGTTAGATTCACAAATTCCAGTGGTAATTATCTGTGAGGAGGTGATATACAAAGTTAGATATAATTTAAATCCATGCCTCTTCCAAGATAGCTGTTCCCACTATGCTATTTTTTTATAGTCAGTAAGGCTTTAGGAAATCACAAGCATTGGTACAGATTAAATTCTGGTCTTCAAATATATGTGTTGTAAATCCTAACCTAATCGATATGTGTGTGTGTGTGTGTGTATATATATATATATAATCCTGGCAGCTCTGTGGGTTAGGCATCTGGCTGCTAACCAACTTGTGGCCTGCCAACTGCAAGGTTAGCAGTTCAAACTCACCAACCACTCTTCAGGAAAAAAATAAAGTTGTCTGCTCCTATAAAGGCGTATCAGGTTTCCTAAGAAGTGGCTAGCTAGTGAGTTTGAACCACTGACTTTGCAGTTAGCAGTTCAGTGCTTATCCTATAAGTGCCACAGCAGGAGTCGATATGAACTTGAGAACATTTAACAACAACAA